AGAGACAGATGGGGTTAGTGTAACGGGAGAAGAACATGGCGTCAATGAGAGGGCATGTGATTTTCTAATATTAGTGCTTTGTCACTTTCTCACGTACCCTTTTTCATGCCCTACCAATTACTTCGCCTCTACTTTGTATTTTCTAGTATATTAATTACACCATAATAATCAATTTCAACAATGACCTAATACTTATAGCATATATATAGAAAAATAGTTGTTCTAAAAAATATGTGGCAAGTTGATGCTTTTCTTTCTCAGAGCACAAAGATCTAACGTCCCTATTTCAGTATTAAAAACTCTGAAATAATAGATATGATCACATAAGTATATATATATATACGTTCGAGCCTCAGAAAAATAGACGACGGTCTTTTTTTTCATAGCTAGAGTTCGTGCTCCCAAATCATTCGAGCATCTCCGACCACGTGTCTCCACCTCAAACGGATCTTATGATATGATTTTTTATTTTCAGTTTATATATTTAATTTGTTGTTGATTTTGTCCCTGCAAAAGAAATAACATTTGTTTATTTAATGTGTATTTGCAAGTAGATAGATGTCCTGTAAAGTTAGAACCAGTGAGTTTTCAGTTAAACTTTTTACATGATTCATGTTTTAAATGAACATACTTTATGAAAATATATATATATATATATATATATGGTGTTTAGTTTTAGTTCATATATACTTCATAGTGGTTGGTGAGTCATTATTATAGAATAAGTTTTACGTATTAGGTTCATAACTATTCTTATGTTAATCAGCCATCTCTACATTAGTAAAAGAGAATTACAAAAATTTCAAGGGTCGGGTTATTTTAAAAAATTTTAAAAATATTACCCGATTAGATTAAATGGATACTTAGAAAACGAATCATATTTAGGATATAGATATGACCCGTTAATAAATTGACATTCTATAAAAGTGTTGGCCATCAATAGGTTTCGAGATTGCCTCTTCGATGCCATATTTACTATCCCACTAATTTAGGATACTTTGTTATTTCTAACAAATCTATTCACGGAAAACAATATTAAATGCTTATATTAAACGATTTTTCAAAATAATTGACTAACCTCTCAATCTTTACAGAATATCCTAATATGTAAACAATACCGTAAATATTCCAGAGCTCTACAATATTAATCTTTACTTCTGAAATTTTTTATAAGACAAAATATTTGATATAACAAACGAAAAAAACATATATATAAAACATACTTTAAAAATATTTAGTATAACAAATATAAAAAATGCACATAAAACTACATAGATAATGGTATTAGAAATGATAATCAGTTGGTTTTAGTTAAATGTTTCTTAAAATCATAAAATAAAATTTTAATATATATATACTATAAAACGAATTTAATAATAAGAATTAGTGTGATGTTTATAATTATATTTGATCCTTATTATTATTATTTTTTTATCTTTCCTGATATGTAAAATGAAAGATTTTAATCACAATAAAAATATATGAAAGAGGTTCCAAGATTATTCCATATCTTTATCAATTTGAATTACTTATAAAAAATGGAAAACTATTTTAACATTAGCATAATTAATGCAAAATTAGTTATGGAGCTCATATAATTTTATATTAATTTAGGGGGGGGGGGTGAAAGACTAAATTTAGGGAGCTCATGTCATCTAATTTTTTAATATAAAAAATATTACACAAATTATCATTACTATTATTTGGGAAGCAATAATAATAACTAATTAATCAATTTTATTATTTTAAAAAATACTATACTTATTTTTAAGTACTTTTGAAAATATAAAATAAAAATATAAAAATTTAGCTGAATATTAATCATAAAATATTCCTTATATTATATTAACTAAATCACTATATTTACTAAGAGTATACTCCATAAGTTTTTCTTATTAGGAAGTTAGTTAAGTAAATCAAAATTATGATTGTTATCATACGAACATTATGATTGTTATCATACGAACATTTGAGTTTTATGATGTAACTTTTATTTCAAATTTAGAAGCTAATTACACTCCTATATTATAGGGCTTTAAAATTTCTCATTTTTCAATTATACTCATTTTATGAGTAATTCAATTATATTTATTTAATTAAACTTCTAATTTTCAAATAATTACTCATTTTTCATGATTCTTTATAAAAATACACGGATCTTTACGGGTTGGTTCGTCACAATATACATTGCGAGTTTGTATTTTTTTAATATACGTTATTTTATTTTTTTATTTAAATATTGTATTTCATTTCTGAATACACATTTTCCCCAAATAATTGAAATCAAATATATATTTCAAAATAATAATTGTTGATACTAAAATAAACAAAATAATAACACATACGATAAACAATGAACCAAAAACATTCCCCCGCGCTGTAGCGCGGGTCCGAATCTAGTTAAGTCATTAAAAACTAAGTACTGACGAAGATCCTTATCCTCCTGACTTTGTTATCAGAAATCTTTGGTGGATTGACAGGTCAAATTTTGTTCTTTACAGAATAATTTATCAAAAGACCAACGAAATACACTTCACTGTGATCTCATGTTTTATGAATTTTATATAGTATGATCAAGAATTAATTACGTCTAAACAGTTTAAAAAGGTTAATAAAAGAAGAGCTAACAACTATGACATCGATAAACAAAAATTAGAGCCTTTGTTCCTATCCTACCTATTAAGACTATCATTCAATAGAGCTTGACATGCTAACGTTAAAGCCTACTAGACCAGACCAATGCTACATTGATTATTATCCTACTTTTGACCACTCCCATGAAAGGGAAAAGGCTAGAACGGCGTGTTGTTCAGGCACATGAAACATTTTGTGTTCTGATACCAACTTGTAGAGAATACTGAAACCTTGCACTAAGCCAAAAAAATCCTTATTTTCATATTGTTTAATTTTAAAAGTGCCCACAATAGGAATGGTGATTTCGAGACATGGTGAAGTTGCATTGCGTACCCATTATTCACAATATTTCATTAGTTAACTTAGTATTTGGGCTTCCTTATTGGTGAGAGATATCGAGGTTGCATCTTATCATCTGAATATATCAATATATCCTTTCTATATATATGTGGGCTCGGTATGGGCTTATTTAGGAGTAAGATCATATATCATCAATCATACAGGCCTCTCTTATATGGTTCCCACTGGCTGAGGTAGAGGCTTCTGGTTCTGCAGAGAACTAAATAAACTAAGGGATATATTGCTTGGAGTCAAAGTAACCTCAAGGAAGACAAAACTAAGCTTAAAGACACAGAGTCACAGACTTTACACATGATTCAGATGTTAGACAACTTTACTCTAAAGCAAAAAGAGCGACCTCTCACCAATCTCCAGCCTATATAAACAAACTCTTCTCTTCATATCACTCTATCCATATCAACTTACCAAAAATCAGTTAAACCAAAATGGCTCTCTCTTCGCCTTCAAGAATCCTCTGTTTTGTTCTTGCCTTATCCGCTGCATCTCTCTCCCTCTCTTTCGCTGCTTCCCACGATTACTCCATCGTCGGATATTCTCCCGAGGATTTGGAATCTCATGACAAACTCATCGAACTCTTCGAGAACTGGCTCTCCAACTTCGAGAAAGCTTATGAAACAGTTGAAGAGAAGTTGCTTAGGTTCGAAGTTTTCAAGGATAATCTGAAGCACATCGATGAGACTAACAAGAAAGTGAAAAGCTACTGGCTCGGTCTTAACGAGTTTTCGGATTTGAGCCACGAAGAGTTCAAGAAAATGTATTTAGGGCTCAAGACTGATATAGTGAGACGCAATGATGAAAGATCTTATGAGGAGTTTGCTTATAAGGACGTAGAATCTCTGCCTAGATCTGTTGACTGGAGAAAGAAAGGAGCTGTGACTGATGTTAAGAACCAGGGCTCTTGCGGTGAATCTAATATCTTGGTCTCTGATGTGTTAAACTTCCGATTCTTGGGCTAAATAAAATATTGTTTCACAGGAAGTTGTTGGGCGTTTTCAACCGTCGCTGCGGTGGAAGGTATTAACAAGATTGTGACAGGAAACTTGACAACATTGTCTGAACAAGAACTCATAGACTGTGACACGACCTACAACAATGGTTGCAACGGTGGTCTCATGGACTATGCTTTTGAGTACATTGTTAAAAACGGAGGTCTACGCAAGGAAGTGGACTATCCTTACTCTATGGAAGAAGGCACTTGCGAGATGCAAAAGGTTTTAGTAAAATGCGGAAAAAACAAAGATGAAACTTAAAAACATAATAATATTTAAGTTGGTCCGATTTTAACCCTCTCTGTTTTCTAAACAGGATGAATCTGAAACTGTAACCATTACTGGACACCAAGATGTGCCTACGAATGACGAGAAGAGCCTCTTGAAGGCATTGGCCCATCAGCCTCTCAGTGTCGCCATTGACGCCTCTGGTAGAGAGTTCCAGTTCTACAGCGGCGTAAGTACAATATTAACATACAAATTTCTTGATTCGGTTTAATTATACAATCTCCCTGAGGTTTGAATCATTGTGTTTTTTTTTCTATATGAAGGGCGTGTTTGATGGGCGGTGCGGGGTTGACCTAGACCATGGTGTGGCTGCGGTTGGGTATGGATCAAGCAAGGGTTCAGATTACATCATCGTGAGGAATTCTTGGGGACCAAAATGGGGAGAGAAAGGTTACATCAGGTTGAAGAGGAACACTGGGAAACCAGAGGGTCTCTGTGGTATCAACAAGATGGCTTCTTTCCCCACCAAGACTAAGTGATCACCATATCATTCTCTCTTATCTTCATTTGATCATCATCTTCGATCGTATCTACATGCATAATTCTTGTTGTTATGATACTATACTGTCTGTCTTTTCTCTCTTTTGATTTATCAATTGAAGCCTTGTAACAACCATGTGAAAATAATATCTATATATAAGTAGCAGAGAATCAACAAGTTTCTACCTAAATTTCTAGTCCTAATAAGTAAGAAGAAATGAAGTCAGAGCTTAATATATTAATGATGATAGAAGAAAAGAATAAACAACGAAGCATTAAAGTAATTAAAAAGTTTCGAATTCTAGGTTAGAAGTAAATTAAAGAAAACAAAGAAAACAAAGAAAACAAAGAAAACAAAGAAAACGTGGATTAAACAGTTTAAGTATACAGAAAAAAAAAACTCAAGTAAGACATAAAAAAAAAACCTACAAGCCATAAGCAGAAATAAACATTAATGAATGTGGTGTTCCTTTGTTCGAACTTGATCTTGATCATCATTGTGTCTGAAGCAAAGTGCTCGCCGGGGATTGCCCGTGAACAATCTGTGGCTCATTCTCGGGCGCCCTCATGATCATTATTATATTGTTCATGCTCGTTATCCTCTAAAGATCTTCCCATAGTCTCCTTGGTGAAGAAATACGTCACAAAGATTCCAGCAATGCAAACGCCACCAAGTATCAAAAAAGCAATTCGCATACGGTTCACTTCGGGATAAGCCTGGTTTATATCATCTCCGTCCATCTTCTTGGTAGCCCACAAGAACCCAACAGTGCCCACGATAGCCCCAAGCTTACCCACGGCACCGGATATTCCATGACAAGTAGACCTAAACCTAGCCGGGAACAGCTCCGCGGGAATAATAAAAGTGGTAGTGTTGGGGCCAAAGTTGCAAAAGAAGAAAACCAAACCGTAGAGAACCATAAAGCCTTTCTTATTCTGCTCATGCTTTGACCAATACCAACTGTACGGAATACCCGCGACTAAATAAAGAACGGCCATGAAGAAAAACCCCATCATCTGGATTTTGACACGACCTATCTTGTCGATGAAGTAAACTGTGAACCAGTAACCGGGAATGGTTGAACAAGCCGCAATGATGGCTCCTAATTCCGCCACTTCGAAGGCTGCGTCATAGACGTTCTCTGCGGCAGAGGAAGAAGGTGTATCGGAATAGTGACTGAAGATTTGAGAGAGGAGGAGGTTGCTTGTGTAAAAGACGACATCTACTAGGAACCAATTAACGGAGGCTGCAAATAGGTCCCGGCCGTGGAGGCTGAGGAAGCGACGAGAAAAGAGTTTGTATGAAGCCGGCGGCGGTAGATATGGTGTCTCCGTTGTGGTTTCGTCTGAGATATGAGATATCGACATGACTCTTTGCATGTCTTTTGCTGCTTGGACGATATTGTTTTCCACAAGTGCTGTATATCTGCATGCATGAGTACTCATTTTAATTAAACGAAAATTTTACGATATCGATTTAATTGACTCCTTAAGCTAGGAAAGAGTACGTGTGAGGATAATTTAATTAACTCGCTTCATTAGCTGGAGCTGATACGGTGATTACCTGAGGTAGATATAATAATATAGATGACCGAATAAAAAATTTGTATTAGTTAAAAATAAAATAAATGAATGATTGGTGGAAAAACTTGGAATGGCTAATGTTGAATAATGAATGCGCAAGGACAGGAGGCGTATAAAGGTATATACCATAGTGTTATGCTATCTAGCAATATCCCTCCAAAAGTCAATGACTTCTTTGAAAAATAAACTAGTACTAATTTGTAACCCTCAAATAAGTGATACAAACCTAGCTAGATAGCTATTTAATTATACAATCAAAGTAATAATTAATATGTTTTAAGGAATCTAATATTAAATACAAGTATGTGTGTGATCAGAACCATTATATGAAAAGAATATTCGTTTTAATTACGTCAAATTACTTACTAGTTAGTAGATGTTAATCTTGTTCTTCTTGGTTGAAATAACATAACATGTATATAGTATACAACTAGAGAAGAGCATACTCAAACTATTAACAAAGAAATAATGATATTCGTTCTCTAAGTCAAATGTATGGGTGACAAATGCGTTCCTTCAGTCATCAAAACATCAAGACAACTGTGTTTTGTAATAATTATACTAATGTAATTTTATTCAATACAACGATCAAATCTAGTAGCTTTTAGCAAATAAAAATATATAGTGCGAGAAGAACGTCCTGCATTACGTCCTTACTGATTTGTGATTGGCAAAATTATGGAGTAAACAATAATGATACTAATTAATTATCACGAAAGAAAAAAGAAGATGGACGGACCTTGCGGTTTCAGGCATCAACATGCGCCAATAAAACGTCAATGCAGCGGGAAGAGCACCGATCATAAGTATAAGTCTCCACGCCACGTCAGCTTCGGCCGGAGCCGTCGCATCCATCTCAAACCCACCACCTCCGCCGTTCTTAAACGCCACGCAAACAGCCATGGTCACGGCAGAGCTGACCAAAATCCCCAGCCCTTGCATCGAGAACACGGCAGCTATAAACGCGCCACGAGTTCTCTTATTCGAAAACTCCGACATGATGGTAGCGGAAAGCGGGTAATCACCACCGATACCCAAACCAAGAATAAACCGGAAAAAACCGAGGCTAACCATAACACAAGACCGACGAGTCGTGCACACGGAGAAGCCACAGCCGAAGGAGCTAAGGATCATGATGACTAAACAGAGTCCGTAGACTCGGCGACGACCGACCCGGTCACCAAGGTAACCGAAGATGATTTGACCTGTGGCTGTGCCTAGTAGAGCGATGGCGTAAGAAGTCGAAAGAACGGCTGTGTTGATTGAGTCGCCGTTGTAGTAAACATGGCTAATCATTTTCATGACCGGTGCGATGCAGAAAAGATCGTATGCGTCGGTGAAGAGACCCATTCCTGCGACTATGATCGCTTTGAAATGGTACCACTGTATTCGAGCTGCATCGAGCGACGACAATATCTTTATTGCCATCGTTGCTTTCTTCTTCTCCACTCTCTGTGATTCTGAATCCAGAGCTTTACTCCTTTCTTTTCTTTTCTTTCTTTTGGTTTTGTATATCGAGATTTGGAGTTCATGGAAGACCAGAGTGAAACATAACAATGATTCTTATAACGATTTAACAAGTGTGTTTTTTCATTAGTTTATTTCTATGAGCATGGAATATGCTTAAGATTTGACTCCGAGGAAGACTTGGTCAGTTTTTTACAATGCGATCCTTTTCTATTTATGTTGTCACGATGGGTACACAACATCATACTGTTTGAAAATTTTCAAGCAATTAGAATTAGTAACCAAGTCAAACCTGATTATACATATTACTACTCGGGTTGATACGGTTGGTTTTGGCTTAATTCACTTATCGAGAAGAGATGTAAGTAACAAAATTACTGCTTCGGTGAGTTTAAGACACAATCTTAAAAGATGATCAGTTGATGAGCAAGCAAAAATCGATGGTGTCATGTCCTAAAAGATAACCTTAGGGTGAATGATCTGTCCTTACATGCGGTTTGATTGGCCTACCTTCTGTATCCATTAACATAAAGATTTACAGAGACCTCGTACTTTTAGGAACCTCCGGTTTAGTTAGGAGTTTTTGTGTCTGATGATGACAGCCTCGAAGATACCATCTGATCGGAAATTAGGAGAGAATAGCCGCGGATCAACTGGTCCTGGGAGGCTAAAGCACAGCTTGAACGGTCCAGGGGGACTCAGCTTCCGGATATTCATCTCGAAAACCCGAGAATGCCTCTTGATCGTTTTCTCGCCTGTCGTAGTAGATCCCTCAATTATCACCTTACCATCTGATTCAATCTCACAGCTGAATTCACCTGCACACAAAATGACCAACCCAATTCATGCATGTGTTCATGACTTAGACCCGATGAGACCTATGGAAATAGTTAAATGGGGCAACAAAGCATGACTATACCGTAATCTTTGCGGACACCAGGCAAAGCAACTTGAAAGAAGTAAGCAACTTTATTGACACCAATGTCAACAACACCAACAGATGGTCCTAGCTTTTGTTTACTGGCTGTTCCGGTAGTGACAATCGATGCTTCTGCATCACGTTCCTTCATGACAGGAGGAGCAGGTAAAACTGCCTGACTGGTGGGTTTATCTGTTTGATCTCTTTCCATAAGAGCTTCGCCATTCTTGTTTGTTACCTTTTTTGGTGAGTTCTTGAACCGTTTTCTCTGGTATGTCTCCTTAAATCTTTCAGGGGTTTTACTCACTCCAGAAACAGCAAGACCAACAACTGCTTCTTCTTCCTCTTTCTTTCGCTTGCATGTTTCTCGAAGCTCTACAAATGAGTAGAAGTCTTGGTCAGAGACAATTCCATTGGATACTGTTCCTTCGTTTCTTGAGAAATCCTGCACCACTCCCTGGCTTTCTGGTATGTCCACCGAAAGTCCAACTGGTTTATTGATCAGGCAACTAACAACTGCTTCTTCCTCTTTCTTCCGCTCGCACGTTTCCCGAGGCTCTCCAGATGAATTGTAGTCTTCACTACTGAGAAGTCCATTAGATGTCGCTTCCCCATTTCTTGAACAGTCCTGCTCCATTTCCAGGCTCTCATCCAGTAGCACACGCCGAGGAGATAAAGACATGACTCTATCGATTTTCAGGTCGTTCAAATGCGACAAGGATCTGAATCTTTGAAGTGTTTCCTTGCTTATGAAGTCCACTGCAGGGTCATCGATAACAACAATCCCTTTCACAATCTCGTGGCTCTGGGAATACCTTTTCTGCTGGTGAAGATTCATGGGGAAAAAAGATGTGAACTGAGGAAACTTTCCAATGGGTTCCATAGGTAGATATCCCTTGAGATACATATAGATCATGTCCGGATGGAGAAGGAGGCTGGACTTGGCGTTTCTCAGTACGTTATAGTAGAGGTTCTGTAGCTGCGCGACAGTGAGAGAGGAAGATCCAACGTGCATCAAAGTGTAAGGTGGTAAACCTTTAGCTAATCTCTGAGAAGCTGAACATCTCGGGTTATCAGAATACACATCAGGACCCAGATAATTGCTCATGATGAAGTTAACCAAGAAGTACTGATCTTCCGATAATCCATCGCTACACAGACTCATGTCTTCGGTTCCAGCAAATGGGGTTAGATATCAATGAACCTGCATTACAGATGAAAGTGGCAGCAGTGTCACATATATGGAAGCAACAAGGACATTCCCAAAATGTAGTCACATGAAATAAATTGAGTGTCTCTCAAGATTCAGTCATATATAGCTTATATAAATTTCCAACTTTTTAAGTTAAAATCTTTTGAACAGTGACTACCATATTTTGTCTAATCATTACTAGGGAGTAAACATAATTCAAATCCTAATAAAATTTTCACTTATTTAACAGAAAAATCTAACTAAGAAGGACACTGAATCTCAAAGAAATTGTGAGAAAGCTAATCTGATGACTTTTTAGAAGCTCTCCTACATAATCAACAATTTGCCAAAAAAAATAAAAAATAAATAAATAAATCCAATTTTTACCCAGTGAGGCCATAAAAGCAGAAAGCAGAAACCCATTCAAGTAGCTAGTTCAAAGCAAAAACAAAATTTTCATTAAAATGTCAAAGGTCCATTACGCTTGAAGAAGACAGTGTTGGTACTCTTCTATCGCAAGAATCGAACCCACATTGTTCACAAATACACACAACACAGAAGATCAAAAAGGGTTTCTGCAATTTTCAAACTCCTACTTAAAAGACAATCGATTTGTGAAAATCAAGCCAACATTGCAATCGGCATGTCACTGAGAAAACGAGAAGAAACCCGGAACTAAACATCAGAGGGAAACGATCAAAAATGTGAGCTTTCTCTCGGTCCCTTTGATTTTGTCGCGATGCTTGCTTCTAAGCTTGGGGGAGGAGGAAGAAGAAGAAGAGAGATTTTTTTTTTTGGTTTTTTGTGTGCTGCTGACTGCTGCATATCAATTTTTGGGTGGGGGAAAAATGCAAAGGGGATGGGGTCCTTCTCCTCGTTACACGTGGCTACCACGTGGGTCCCGCTAATAACCGCATTTGGAGGCATCACTTGTCCACCTCGCTCACCACGTGCCGTCTCGTTCCTTTTGGGCTTTTATTCAGCCCCCCCCCCCCCGAAAGGCCCATTAGTCATTACCTCGATATATGTACTATCATTAAATATTTTCCATAATGGTATTATCTAAACCAAATCATATGGATCCATGGATTTGTTGAGTACCTCAATAACCTCAAATGATAAAGTAGGATTTTATTATCAGATTAATTTATCAGTCTAAAACTCTGTACAGACATGGACAAGAGAAGAATCCTTGAGCTAAAAATATATGTACAGACAAGAAGCTACGCTAACACAATAATCAATTCATTTCTTTACTTACAATGCAGAGGACTCGACTTTAAAGGGACATAAGAATCTACCTTATAATCTTTACTAACACCCCTATGCCTTAAGAGAGTGTTTAGTAACATGACTACTTTAACTACCAAAAGAATCAGATTTTGATTCCACCATTCTATATGCGTCTGTATCTGTTATGCACTTTCTTTATACACCAAACTTACTCCTACCAGTTTACCGTGAAAACCCTTGTTTCACATTGTTTATGGCAGCAAGCTTTTCGTGGCTATATACACATGATGATGAGAGGTTTACTAAAACAGAAGCACAACCCCTGAAACTTCTTCCATGGTTCTTTGTCCTCCATCCGCTTTCCCAAGAACAATCCTTTCTTTACTTCTTCAGTGAGCAAGAACTACTTATTACCTGTAACAGCGGTAAAGTGGTGAGTCTGAAAATTATTTGCAAGTACTGAAACTAAAAAAGTCACCTAATGTACCAAACCTTACCTCTAGAATGCAAAAATAAATAATTTGCTAAGCTTAAACAGGTAAGCCTGCCAATACTCAGAGTAGCTTTTACGTTGTTGTCCTTATTTGTTTTCCCTTTTCTGAAGTCTTCAAGGGTTACTTAACTGAAACCCAACAAATAACATCAATGTACTGTATGTAAGTGAGTATCATCTCCTATCCAATTTCTACCCAAAAAAGTCCAAAATGGCTTACGTTGATCGATTCTTCACCCTGTTGTTTGATCAGAACCGCTACTATGCATATACTGTGGAGTCTGGACGATGATACGTTGCTGCGTTGGAGCTGAAGCTGAAGGATATGGAGATTGAATAGCAGACATAGGTGAAGTGCCACTAAGCTGCGGAACATGACTTCCTGGATGTGAATAACCCTGAACTGCTGCATAACCGTGGCCACCGGGAATAGTCTGGCTCAATTGCCCGTATTGATACCCTGGTGAGTTAACTCCACCAGGTAGTCCATAAACCTGAAGGTACTGTTGACCCATGTAAGGACCATAAAATCCCTACAACACCATGAGGAGACATGATTTTATAACTAAAATCATAACAGTTTAAAATACAAAAAGAAAGTAAGGACAGCAGCATATTCAGACGCCTACCTGAGCCTGTGAGTACATGTAGTCAGGTCCATATGGTGCAACCCTGAAAGAACACAAAAAAAGAGCAACTAATATTAGATACAGATGAGTATGGTATTTTCCTAGACACTCTTTAAGAGAATACATATAAGAGGAGTAGCAATTATACATCAATGGCTAAAGAACATTATACTATGAAGGGGAAGGTGCTAAGCTAAGGGAAAAAAACCTAAAGGTCTACTCCAAAATGTCCATTCCGGAAAATTAGATCATTTAAGACCTATCAAACTCCAAAAACATTTCATGACCTTGCCTGTTCAAAATAAATTGAGTTCAGCCACATATCCTCTGCGATTATATTTTGGGTTCCTGCAAGTTACCAATCACAACATGTCACATCATAGTGCTACACACAAGACCCTAAGTGGCAGAAGATAACTATCATTAACCCCTAGCTCGACAGAATATCTAAGTGACTGGGCATGCTGTGATTGGTAAATGCCACTTATTCAGAGTGATTGAACAAATGTTCAACCTTTGTGAGATAGACTAGCAAGTTGAATTTAGAACTGATACGCTTGTCACAGTATGTATGTTATAGCAGATTTAACGCAATTTTGTGAGCTTCAAATTGCGCAACTCACCCATAAGGGTACACCAATCCTTGTTGGTAGTTATAAGCAGGTGGTTGCTGATACGGATGGCTTCCAAAAAGTGAACCGCGAGGACTCTGCACACTTCCAACATATGGGGAAGCAGGTCTTATCCGCCCTAACCAAAAAAGGTAAACAATGCAATAATTAAAGGTTTACACCGTCACAATCCATCGAAAATTGAAATTATAAAGGTTTCTGTAAGTAATGAGAAGAAAATAAATAGATGAATACTGAAGCGAGACTGACCAGGAAAATTGGGTATCATGGCATATTGCATAGGGGGCCGAGGTCTCCCGATAGAAGCGAGATTGCAATTGGCGCGTCTGCCATCTATAATAGGTGTTGGGTCGACACAGGCTCTCCTAGCAGCCTCTGGATCTCTAAAAGTCACCTAAATCCTCCATAAAAATCATAAACATAGCAATGAGTCACTATACAATCATGAACATAAACAAACAGAAATGTTAGTCTAGAAAGGGAGTCTCTGGATCTCGAATTCAACTTCTTTTTGTTTATTCAAAGAAGTAGTAATCCTAAAAAGCCAAGCAGATCATTTACCAATTACCAAAAGTGTCACTATAGTTATAACTTTCAAGCACATTAGGTACCTAATAACCTCTAAGCATACAATGGAAGCAGATGATGTTGTTCATTACAAGCAGCCAGAATAAAACAACTTGAGATACGAGAAACATAAAAGCATGAAGAAAAATCAACAAAAGAAAAATTAGGATACTCACAAAGCCATAACCTTTGGATCGACCAGTGTTCTTGTCAGTAATAACGACAGCCTCAAGGATATCACCGTATGGTTCGAAATGGCGACGAAGAGTCTCGCTTTGAGTCTCCCACGCAAGGCCACCAACAAAGACTTTAGTAAAGGTTGTATCACCAAAAGGAGAGCTCAAGTAATGAAACCCAGAGCCAGGAGGAATCGAATGATACGCCATGATTGATTAGAACCAAAAGACAGAAACTTTTTACAGTAGAAATCAAGTAAGGAAAAAAGACCGAATCTAAAACTAGACCCAGTAAACCCTAGACAAAGTTTTGAGTGGTGGTTAAACCTAAAGATGAAGAAAACAGAACAAATCGAATTTGGAAAGAGGAGATTCTAGGGTTTACCAGGGTATGCGAAGAGAAGAGGAAGAGAGAGGAAGAGAGAGAGATCGGACCTAACGATACCTAATAAAGGATCATACTTGACAAGTAATGATCATGACAGAGCAAAATAAAATAAAGAGATAAAATTTCCCGGGAAAAAAAAACAGAACAATAACCAAAACAAAAAAGTTGGGGGAAAAGGGTTTTAAAAACTTTGAAAGATGAGCCACGGGAAGAAGAGAAGAGTCTGTGCCGCCGGTAGGTACAACGACGGGCGAGTTTGTCAAATGGTAAATTAAAACAACGGAAACGAGAAGGACGAATCGCTGACGAATTCGAATCAAGCCATTGGGGAAAGAGTGAAAAAAGAGAAGAGAGGGAAGAATTAGAGTGAATTTAGGGATTTAGATAGAAAGGAAGAGTATAAATTTTGACATTGATGATGATGAAGAAGTTGGTGATGACGAAGACGATGATGCGTGATTATTGTGATTCATGAATTGTTCGAGAGAGAGAGAGAGAGAGAGAGAAAGTGAACAGAGTTGTTCTTCGCCCCCTCATACTAATGGGTCCCGCTCAAAATCGTATTATTAATACTAATTTCATTTAATTTTAAGAATTGTATAATCTCGTTTGCTTCTTCTAATTACTCCTCCCAAAAGATAATGCGATGTTGTGTATACTTTAGAATTCTTCATATTTTGGATAGAAAAAGTCAAATGGATAAGCGTTAAGAGACGGACCATACTTAAAAGAAAATATCATATAGAATCATAAAAGTTGAGAGACATCGGCAACAGTTGTTTTGTCTCTCTAACGAGAGTATGAGACTATGAAAAACTGAAGATGATACAATAATATTAGATGAACAAACATCAAAAAGCTAATATAGTAACAAGACAGATATGTGAGGAACAAACATCAGTCTGTAATTAACTATGCTTCATTCTTTAACGATCACGATCTCCATCTTTGATTACAAGATTAGATGGGAGAATCCGGGGAAAAATCAACGCGGCCACGAGACACAAAACTACCAAAACCACCACTGACCAGCTTGAGTAAGGGATGCCTAAGAGTTGTTCTTCACAAACTGTAACCAACGAAGAGAGTTTACAGACTTTAAAAGATGCACTTTCATTCACTACAACTTGTATGTTGTGAAAAGAATAAACATTGATGATAGCAAGTGGATAAAAGAGAAGCTTGCCTATGTTGTAAATGATGAAGGACCTTTCTTTGATTTTTGGTATAGCCACGACTCCCTCAGGTTCAACCGTCACCAAAACATACAATCCGTCCTAAATCAGAAACAGAAAAAAATTGACTCATGGACTTTATCTCATGATTGTTTCCAAGTCGTAAAAACTGATTGAAGATGATGAGCCAATACCTTGTTCTTAGCTTCTTCAAGAGTTTCGGTTTTAAACATCAATTTCTCAGTGTTGAGTAATCTCCTCATCTGGTTCAGCTTCAAACCCACCACACCGTTCTTCAGTAGTTGTAGAGTAAATAAAGCCGGTATCTGTGATCACCAAAACAAAAGATGAGATTTTTCAACAAGGACAAGAAAACTTGGAAACATAAAGCAAGAACAAGATAACAAAATCTTGACATACAGAAGCTGGGTATGATATCTTCACTTCATACCAAGAATTTGACTTAAGCCCTTGTAATTTGTAAACTCGAGAACCAGATTGCAATGGCAATGTCTCCCTCCAAAGTTCCTTCCCAGCATATAAAGTGTTCCCATCAAACCTAAGATATATACATTACGTAATCACATCATTTCTATTGTACAAATAAAGAATCCAAAAATTGAACATTTATAAATACACACACACTTACAGTCTCTCATGGCTGTAACAAGGCACGATATTTATGAAGACGATTAGACAGATAAGCAAACAACATTCTCTATCACGTAACTCGAGCATCCTACAAGTCCTGAGTATAGGGATGTTGCCGTGGGTATTCACTCTAAGAAGAAGAAATTGTCTCTCTATTCATATAGATCTGAGGGAAGTGAATACAAAATAACAAACCAACGCAAAAATGCATAACTAACACAAACACATACCAAGGCAATACACGTCGTTCTGCTATAATAAGGATCACGTTCTGCTATGATCTCTCACCAAAACGAAACAGACTTAACGAATCTGATTCCAGTAAAAAAAGCTGTCCATGTTTCTTCTAGCTGTGTCAACAAAAGAAGAAGAATTTTATAAGTGAAACAAACTGCATAAACCAAAGATCAGCAGCATTGTAAACCCTATTCTCAAGACCTCAACATTGTAAATCAATAGCAGCAGTGCTAAGCAAAACGAAATCAAATGTGTCCAAGCTTGTCGGTTAAGTCTCACAGTGAACCTAATTACCAAGAAACAAGTCTGAATCTGACGCTTTAGTACCATTACGAAACTCCATTACTTGTTCTTCTACCGTACTAATAGCTACTCCTAGTCTTCTCCCAACTCTGCAAATCTAGCTAATTTCCCTAAAAGCTAAGAGTTACAGTAACCAAAAAAGCTCAGAGATTTGTATAAGCTTTCACAATTATAACAACAACGAAAAGCTTGAATCCAACAACAAAATGCAAGAGTGAAAGAGCTTGAATCCAGAATCGAATTCTCATAATCCAAAATGCAACAACGAAAGAGCTTGAATCAAAAGTCGAATTTTAGAAGAAGACTAACCAAAATTCGTAAGCCCACTTCGAGATAGACAATATAAAGCTCAATTCGTGGCCAGCAATGGCGGACAAAGAAGACTCATATGCAAACAACAGAAATTGATGAGTTTGTGTTTGTCTTCGGGATCGACACAATGGAAGACGAAGCAGCAATAGCGAACAATGGCCGACGAAGCAGCAATAGCGAACAATGGCCGACGAAGCGGCAATGGGTTTCAATGGCAGCAGTAGAATCGATGTCGGAGTCGAGGGGAAGAAGAAGATACGTAGCACGTAAGCACCTCGCCGGAGACAATAGAGTCTCGGTGATCCTTGGATCGACGGCCAGAAAAGGAACACGATTCCGGCGACTTCGGAGCTTGATTTGAACCCACTCGATCGATAAAATGCGATGCTGCAAGAGATTTGGGCCTTCTATATTTAATGGAGCTATAAATAACTTAATTGGACTACATTAAGGCCCACTTATAAGCTTGTAGAGACAAAACGCAAGTAAAGTATCAACGGATCCTGATCGTACACGTCAAAGTGACTTTAGCTAAATCAGCAATGAAAAGACGGTTTTAGACATCCGTTCATAACTCAACTAAACTCATGTAACTGTTGGTAATGGTACGTGAGGTTTCATAAATTTAACTAAACTCATTACTTCTTTATTAAATACAGGCTATACATCAAACTCAATTTTAAGTTAACGATAAAAAGGTAGCGTCAAATACAAAGGAAATTAAGAACACAAGAGTGACTGAAGTTATAATCCTTGTGTCTTAAATAAACCAAGCAACACAAACCAGAAACGTGTATCGATCCTACTAGAAAGAAGATTATAAATAAATAATTAGAAAGCATAACAGCTTCGATTTATATTCATAAGTTATAGCCACTCACAGCTGCTAAACCAGATCAAATGAATATTCTCTGTTGTGTTGTTCCCGTTAGCACAAAAGCTCCTGCTCTTATTATGCTCTTATTAAAAACACAAACCAGACACAAGAATTGTAACAAAATCAAACACAAAACAGTTTCATCATCACTACAAATCTGAAAATACATGATACATTTTTCACTACCTTAACTTAAACAAAACATGCTTAACTAAACAAGCATGATTAGAATATGAAACAAGAACTCCCAAGACATTATTAGAATCTGCAAAAACAAGCTGCAAAAAAATCAACAGACCAAGTGACCAACACCAATTGAGATCACATCACATGCGTAACAAATTAAAGCTGCAAACAAGTGTTGTAGCTGCAAATTAAACCCTTATTCTATATTAATCAAAAAGTAACCGAGTAAAACAAGAGATCAGCATAGTACAAAGCCAAAGAAATCAAAGTAGAGAAGCAGTCACAAAGTGAAAGAGACCCTAGACCCTAGAGAAGCAATCAACAAGAAAAGGGTTTCAAACAAGAACCATTAGCAAAGAATTTCAAAGGCATAACTTCTGCCACAACAACCTATATATATTCAAAAGGCATGAACTCGCCCGTTTTAAACTTTTTTTTTTTTTACTGAAAAAGAAAACAGGTCCGAAATCCCTATATTAATAAATATGGGTTTCGGGTACCCGTCGAGAAACCCAACTTTTAACATCCCTACGTCAAAAACCTTACGAGAGGATCAGGTTACAAACCGGTCTTGCCACGTGACCACGTCGTTGATATCTACGTGGCGAGTTGTGAGAATAGTGTTTTGTCCTGTCTTGGTTTTGGCCTTGGGTGTGTGTAGTAGGGACCTCCTTGAATATGGGCCCAAAAGGCTTCGGACACACACTAACTCAGAAAGTCCAAAAGGGGTCAGGTATACATGTAGGCTCCATTTCTAAACCAAATTGGCAATTTGCCCATGTTGGTGTTGCTTCCCTCCCCTACTTAAATAGTTCTATTTCATATTTTTCTCTCTCTATTCAGTTCAATAATGAAGTAAATCATCTTTATATGATTCACTATTATCTTACCTCAATCAATTCTCTCCTTTACTTTTCACAAAACATCACTTGGGTGCATTGCACAAATATAAACTATGAAGGTCAAAATGTGACTAGAGAAAGAAACAAATGAAAGAGGCATTTAAGTTTTGAAAAGACACTTGGTTTTGTTTTCTTTCTCTGTGCTTTATACGAAAATATATAATTTTAAAAATTGGTGGATGGGGGGTGGTGGTGGTGGTAGATCACAAGTCGCCAAAATAAAGATGTGAGAATGGGATTGGCCATTATCAGAGAAAGTTGACGCGTAATTTTCTGATTGATCACGACTGCTTTTTTTAATTTGTTTATTTTTAAAGAAAGTTCATAAGTGTAGAGAGAGTCTGGAGACCACTAATTATCATCTGATTTTTACTAGCTTCTTGTTAACTTGTGACCATTGATCATTACGTTGGTAAAAGAATATTATTATTATACAAAAATTAATTTTATAGTAACATCATAGGTATATTTGGGAAACCAAGTAAGTTCTCCAGATTGATAGGAGCAATAAAATACATATTTCATCTTATTTTAGTTTTCTATGGAGAATAAAAATATCAAGTCAAAGTCCTAATAGTTAAATAATCTTTTATATAATATATGTATGTACCTTCTTCATATAATTACATATAAAGAAAACAGAAGTGATTACCACAATAACAACGTAACTATGAACAAGGATAGGACCATGTAAAAATATTGATCCTAGATTTGTGAAATATATTGAAAGAGTTCTAGGCTTCTAGCTTAGTTTAATATAGTATTGTATATAATTACGTGTGTTTTACGAGGTTTAAATTTAGACAGGATCTCACTGACGGTATTAATCTCCAAATAACTAAACTACATGTCATGGTCTCCTAAATCTAACTTTAGATATTTATCGTTCGAGTAAATTCATATCATACAATATGCAGAAATAGTAATTCTTTCAGATGTCATGTCAAAATTTTAGAGATATACTTATAAAACTGAAGTACAAAATATGTTGTAATTGAAAAAAAATAAAATAAATAATTAAAAGAAGGGGTTATTCCATCCATCCATTTCATGAATGACGGATTTTTTTTGATTTTTTTTTTGGTTTGCCATATTTGTATTTTGTGCCAAATATGTTTTATTACACCAATTAACTTAATTAATAATTGTAGACCTCATCATATGTATTTCTTCTTGTACAAAGCAAAGAAGCGGACATGTTAGATTCCGTGCGACAAACCAAAAAAGTATGATTTGATTGACAATTTGATATAAAGAGCTCGATTAGACTTGTTTGATTGTTTTTTTTTCATGTGAAGGATTTTATACATCCATAATAAACTATATCAATAAATAATATATTTGTAAAGTATTAATACTAGTGACCTTGATCCTGATAAGTAAGCCAAAAATATATCTAGCTAGTACATACCGATAAAACTGGCTACAATATATACCTGCTCTTTTATTTGGTCCCAAAAGAATAGTACTAAATTCTGAGTTTCTAACACACTTTAGAGTTTAAACAGTTATCATAACAACAAAATTAATATTTCAAGAAACAATTAGCTATTTGTATGCGTACATAGAACTCGGTTGGTTATATATTTTCTTTAAAAATAGAACTTTTCTTCAAAATACACAGTACGTTTAGAATAAAAACTGATTCATAACTTTTTATATGCGTAAAGTGTAAACTATAGAATGATGCTAGCCTTACTATCTCACATATATATGGAGCGTGGTGCTTTTGATTGATAGAAGAAAAGCTAAAAAGAAAAGAATTAAGCGTACTGATGAATTACTGATTAATGGGTGTCACGTAAATCTTAGGGAACCATCACAATTTATTGCCCGTATTATTGTTGTTTTAATGATTCAGGACAGAACTATATAGTTGGATTATTTCTCTAACAAACAGCGTCCTTAATTATGAGTATTTTAGTTGCTGTCCGCTGACCAACAAAAATATTGAAATTTTGATCAGTGTGTGCTTGTCGGAATAATTATAACTGATGTATTCCATGTTTGGTGACAATATAATAAACTCTTACGACCGGAGATAAAGAACTTAACTTAAATCATCTCTTGACACATGCCCGGTGAGTTATAGTAGGTTTTAACATTAAATTCCACGTGAATCTTTAACTGGACATATCGATTTTATTAACACATACAAGCTTATATAATCTTCAATTATAAAGAAATGGGTTCATCGGTCTTAGACGACTAGTAGTAGTGTCTAGCTAAGAAAACTTAGGACAGTCGCATATTTACAGACTTGCATGAGGATGCGCTTAATTTGGCGTGTATATAGCTCTCGCGAGGGATTAAACTAGCTATATATCACAGTACTACTGAACTCTTCCCGCTTGATATTCTAAGTTTCTCGAATGATTGCACATATTATTCCATTTTCAATGTACGTATATGAGATAATAAAAATATAAATTATTGGACTAGTTAATATTTTTGAAATACGCAAACAAAAGTTCACTTCACGTCTTCACGTACGTGTTTTTTTTTGCTTTTGATAAATTGAAGAAATAGGGGGCAAAAGAAGCGAAAGCAAGTTAGATAGATTGGGGAGGAGGAGTAGTGTGATTGGATAAGGTAAACTGACCAAGTACCGATGATTCCGACCGCCTCCACGTGGTCACGCAGCTTGCCTTTCACTTTCATGCTCTGACCTTTTGACCGCACGTGACTTTTGTCTGTGCACGTGCGAACCAAGCTAACGTGTGCGGTTCAAGTACATTGCACCGAGCCCCTGACTCGCCAGGGTTGCGCCGATTAAAACGACGGGTCCCGCATGCCATGAGGGATCGATGAACGGTTTGATCCGATCCTTTTTTACTACTACTACTACTTTCACTTACTGAGGTTCGGTCCCACCATGGTTCAGGCCACATGCCTCCACGTTGAAGGACCTCATGTGTTACTACTATATGGGTGCAGTTCACAAAAAGTATGACAACCAGTCACGGTTCCGATATGAGGTCATGCATTTATTTATGGGTCGGATTGAGTTAAACCACTTCAATAAATCACTATATCCAATTATATTTGGTTTGATGGGTTGATGCAATTGGCAAGTGTTTAATTTAGTGTTTATCCTTTTTTTTTTTTACGTATATTAAAAGTGTGAAAACCTGATATACATTTTTAGAGGAGTACTTATCAATTTTTATTTTTTTTCAAAATACTAATAGCCCTAGCTATCATCTAATTTGACATTGTGATATTTAGTATTAACTAGTCTTTCACATTAATTGAACATTACAACTTTCTCCAAATGTATCATTAAAAAGGGTCCACTTCTTTGTCTTACGATATTTGAGGGAATGAATATAGATCTCATTCTGATAAGGGGCCATTATCTAGATTTGATTGTTCTTTGCTATGCGGCTTATGCTCTCTCCCATGACAATTAAAGTGGATATACACAAATATCAGATGTAAACTTTAGTAAGAACATCGATTCTTTGATATCTAATTAATTAACTCGGGTTTAACAAGCTAATGTATAAGTAATGGTAATAAACAAACACACATATAGATATAATGGGATGGATTATGAAATAAATTATATAATCAATCAATAAAGCGAGGTTAATCAATTATTGTTCTGCAACGCTTAAAAGTGAGTACTAATTCTCTTTATTTTTTTTTGTTAAGTAAAGCTTGTTCCTATCCGTTTGTTGGGTTCTTCTTAATTGTTGTATATATATTTTGCAAACCATATATGTACTAATTATGTTTTGTTATTTCTCTTAAATTAAGGTTTAATATATATTTTTTCCAAGTAAGAGAAGACAAAACAGTATATATTTTTCGGTTTAAAGTTACTAAGAAGAAGATAAATAAATTAGTAACATGATCAAGTGATATTTTAGTAGATAATTTCTTTGTTTTAGACATATAAAATAACATCCACGCGCCTTAAAGGGAATGTGGGATTCGTTTATAAATTATAGTGTGTCTTTGTACCCAACTTATCCTTGACATTTTGTGTTGATTACTTGTTTTTTCTTTTCAAATAATGCATTTTCATTATCTCTTGATTCTCTTCTATATAATTTCACAAAACTAAAGCTGACCAACTTCTCTTCTCTTCTGTTAATCTTATCTTAGGCTTACAATAATACAACTTATTATAAAATCACATATTCTTTTAAAAAAAAGTATTCATTCTTATAATATATCCGGTTGGAACCGAAGTTGAAACTGCGACGAACCCGTTGTTTTCTTTGGGATCTTATGTAAGGATAACCACTTATACACATATTATTTTTGTCGGCTTGTGTGTGCATATGTATTAATTCTACTTAAAAAAAAGAACAGGAGTATTATTCATAATAGTAGTAATAATTAAAATAAAAATGATATAATAAAGAGGACTGTTTCTCCGCTAAATTCTCGGTGTATGTCTTTGCTTTTACTTTCCTCGTTCAAGGAGAGGACCAAAAATTTATTGCAGAAGAGTCGCACATGAATCTCACTCAAGCTTCTCTCTCTCTCTCTCCTTTTTCCTCCAGACCACCTCAGAATCATCAGCTATAATACGACTCGTATGCAAGAAGACACTGCTTCTTCCTCTTGCCCTAAATTAAGCCACACCTAACTAGGGTTTCTTTCCCTTCCTGTTACCTCTTTTACACAGAGTAGTACTGAGAAAGATCATTTTAACATTTAAGTCACTTGTTGTTTTTTCTTTAATCTTTTGCTTTGGTCTTTTAGTTTAGTTCTGTTCTTCTTGGTCTGTTTCTATATTTTGTCGGCTTGTGTAACCGATCACACCTTAATGCTTTAGCTATAATTGGTTCCTCAAAATCCTGAGTTTTGACTTCTCGATCTGAGTTTTTCTTCTTTTTCTTTTTTTTTTCTCTCTTCACCTCCCAAATATATGAAGCAAGAAAGATCAAGAATCAAGAAATTGATTTGAGCTGGCGAATAAGCAGTGGTGGGAGAGAGATTTAGTAGATGCGGCGGCGATGGAAGGCGGTTACGAGCAAGGCGGTGGAGCTTCTAGATACTTCCATAACCTCTTCAGACCTGAGATTCACCACCAACAGCTTCAAACGCACGGTGGAATCAATCTTATTGACCAGCATCACCACCATCAGCATCAGCAACAACATCAGCATCAACAACAACAAGAGCAACCGTCCGATGATTCCAGAGAATCTGAACACTCAAACAAGGATCATCATCAACAGGGTCGACCCGATTCGGACCCGAATACATCAAGCTCAACACCAGGGAAACGTCCACGTGGACGTCCACCGGGATCTAAGAACAAAGCAAAGCCACCGATCATTGTAACGCGCGACAGCCCCAACTCGCTTAGATCTCACGTCCTTGAAGTATCCCCCGGAGCTGACATAGTTGAGAGTGTTTCCACTTACGCTAGGCGGAGAGGGAGAGGCGTCTCCGTTTTAGGAGGGAACGGCACCGTTTCTAACGTCACTCTCCGTCAGCCAGTCACTCCTGGAAATGGTGGTGGTGTTCCCGGAGGAGGAGGAGGAGGAGGAGTTGTGACTCTACATGGAAGGTTTGAGATTCTTTCACTAACGGGAACTGTTTTGCCACCTCCTGCACCGCCTGGTGCTGGTGGTTTGTCAATATTTCTAGCCGGTGGGCAAGGTCAGGTGGTCGGAGGAAGCGTGGTGGCTCCCCTTATTGCATCAGCTCCAGTGATACTAATGGCTGCTTCGTTCTCAAATGCGGTTTTCGAGAGACTACCAATTGAAGAGGAGGAAGAAGAAGGGGGCGGTGGTGGCGGAGGAGGAGGAGGAGGTCCACCGCAGATACAGCAAGCTCCGTCAGCATCTCCACCGTCAGGAGTGACCGGTCAGGGACAGTTAGGAGGTAATGTGGGTGGTTATGGGTTTTCTGGTGATCCTCATTTGCTTGGATGGGGAGCTGGAACACCTTCAAGACCACCTTTTTAAACTTGAATTTTTAATGTCCGGAAAATTTATGTGTTTTTTCATCATCTTGTGGAGTCGTCTTCTCTTTTGGGATCTTTGGTGTTTAATGTTTAGCTGATATGCATATTTGATTTCTCCTATTTTTCTTTTCTTCTCATCTTTCTTGGATAGATGTTAGAGAGAAATGCATATTTTGTCGCTCGTGCTCTTAGTAAAACTTCTCCAGTCTCCATGTATGCCTTTATTTCATCCATTGCTAGGGTTTCGTGCTGCAGTGCCCTATTAGTGTTATTATAATTAGCTGGATTTGATAGATGTGTAGGTCTATTTAATAATGTGTTCGTTACTCCTTTAAGAATTTTTGAGCTTCACTACGTATTCTTGATGAAGTATATATGTGGGTATATCTCAGAAGTTGCACTTCATGAATCTATTCTACAATACGTTTCCAAAACGTAGTCTAGCTCATATTTATAGTTTGATGTTTATAACGCCTAAGACGCACAATATTTCTCATAACATTCATTTCAACTTTTTTCACAGCTTCAATGTAAGAGGTCAAAATTTTAAACTTAGTGTGTGTATATTGATCAACTGTTCTGTTCATATATCTAAAATCTATAGCTAAATTATATTTTTATAGATAGCATATTTAAAGCCGCTATACCAATAAATAACAACTAGTACTCTAATGCAATATGTATCTATAAAAGTTAGGATTAGCTCTCATATTGATCAAAACGTAATGCATCCCCAAATAGGGTAGTTAAATCGTGTGACTGTCTATAACGTAGTTTAGCCAACAATTTATAATCCATTGACTATGTGTGATTAGTTATCTCAAACTGTTTAGGACATAACCGTCTAAGCCATCTCTAAGCTTGTAATACTCTCTAGGGAAAAATCAAGGCAATTGGAAAGATTTAGCGTTTAGAGAGTTGTCTAACCTGTGTTTAATAAATACGACATGCATGTATGTATACTAGCTAGGAGCTAATAGTTATCATTTGACCACTACAGTTACTTGCATGCATAAAATATATACATTCATGCTTTCAGTTATAGCTAAGCCGATTCGATCTTTAATTCCAGGAGAGCTGCAAATCTAACAACATCATTCAAGGCACAAGTAGTTTTAAGCAAATTGTCTAACTAGCTAGAGAGATAAAATATAAAGTAACGAAGTATTCGATCGGTCTATATTCTGCTAAAATCTAATCAGATTCGTAATATAGAATGGAATTATCATCTTACATGCCACTGAAAAATAAACAAATTCATAGAAGCATATTCTTTTGCATAATGTTTTCATACCTTGTGTTATCCTTGTTCATTATATTTCATCGTAACCATTTTAGAGCATAATATTTTAGCCAAGGTATTATATAGACAACCGTTACAGCATAATAGTTAGTGAAAGTAGAAACATGAAGTAAATGTTCACGTACGTCGGTTACATAATAATTAGTGAGACTTGAAACATGGGAAGGAGACTGACTAAAAATGAACATGAATCATTTGTAGTGTCAGTTAAGTGAGACTCTCTGCCGCAACATAACAAAATTTGGGTTTCGATTACCAAGATATGTGAAAAAGAGGAATGTTCCAATTCCCTAGGGACAAATTTATTTACTAGCTAGGAACAAAAAAAGGTAGCTCATTATTTAGTACTAGTAGTATTTGTTTAAGAATGTTATTCAATAACAATATTTAAAACCCAATAAAACAAAAGTATATAAATAATCAGTTACATAAATTAAAGTCCAAAAGAGTGTTAGGTTTGTAAATTGTAAAGCTAATTAAATTTGATGAATTTGCATGATGAGAATGAAACTTCAATCAAATTTATGATGATTGTTAATTGAATTTGTTCTAACTATTGTAAGATGAAAATGAATGTTCAGTCAAATTTATGTGTGTGTTTGGCAACTAACTCTCTCATGCATGTAACAAAATTGCAGATTATTCCACAAACTACAGTTCCAAGATAAATACAGTATTATGGTGATAAAAGTAACTATTATAGTTATCAGATGCTTTTCCAGTAAAAAATAGTTTTTATCTTTAGAAAATATACATACTGTATTTTGTGATTCCATATGGCTTTTTTTTTGGGGCTTGGAACATTGTAGAGAGAAAAAGCATTCTAGTTGTAGATATTATCAAATTCCCATGCGGTCATGTCATGTGCCTTACATGCAATTGAGCTACACCAAGTTGAGAATAACCAAAACCAAAACTTTGAACACTGTGAACTTTTTGCATGATTACAAAGACTGAGTTAATAATTAAATAGTGAATATATGTGATCGTGTATATAATTTATTACTATCTTATAGTAATCAACTAAGATTGATTTACTTATGTTATTTTATTTTATTTTTCTGTAAAATTAATATTGTTTAAAGCAAAACCAATATTTTTTTCTGTCTAAACACCCCTTGAAATTGGAAGGCATTCTCATAAACTCATACCCTGCAGTATTCTTCTGATGTCATAAAATTAGACTAGTCTTCACAATTATGAACTTTCCTCATGATACATATATTTAAAACAAATTATGAACTTTTTTTTTCTTCTTCTCCTTAATCATATGTTCCCGAAAGAATAGCTTTTTAGATTCAGGAAAATGTCGATAAGTTTTTGTTGTTATTGTTATTGCTTTAATAATAGGCACCACCAAAAAATTGCATATTTTTCACTTTTTGGATAACAAATCATCTCAGGAAAACTTTTTGAAGAATTAAAAAACCTGAAAAGAAAGCATGAGAATCTAGAAATACATATATTAGAACCAGTAGATGGGATAGGTTAAATCTAAGGGATTCATACCAATATAAAAAACACAAAAAAGCATGTCATTCCAATTTTGGTTCAAAAGCATCACACTATTGGTTGTATCCAAAAATGGCTTTGAACTGGAGCAGCTTCACCTACTAATCTCAACTTTTACAAAAGAGAAATCTTACAGTAAGATCAAATGTTTGTTTGCAAGTTCCTAACTTCAGTCTTCAGACTCAAAATCAAAGTTACAAAACTGCTAACAGTCGCCTAACAATTTGGTTTTGAAACACGTGAAGTTCCTAAAATACACTAAGAACAAATGCCGCACTTACTCTTGAAATCAATCACTGCTCAAACGGAACTCGTATGAATAACCGCCCGTGCATGCTCATGACCGCAGATGTGTGAAGCGGATCAATCCTTGCGGATAAGTCAACAATCTGGTGAAATCATATCACAATGACAGGACGGTTCTTAGGTTGATACACAGGTTTCTCAGTAGTTAATGGAAATGTCTGGAATATACAACAAACTTTTTACCTTTTTGAAGGGTGTAATGCCCCAAGGATTGTCAAGCTGCTCCGGCTGGCCTGTTATAACCACCTTTCCCACGGGATCTGATTGAATTCGAACCTGGGAAACAACAACTTATGTTCAATAACTGGACTCTGTAATGATTTTATCAGAAAATACTTATTGCCGACAAAATTGTGTACTGAGATTATGGAACTAAAAGTAAAAACTTCCAGATGTCTATGCTGCTTCATATCAATATCGTAGGAAAACAATAGTCAAACGGAATTGCGTCGGTAACCTAGCAAATCTCTTAGTGCTTACTGTGTATTGCCACAGTAATATGCATACATACAAAATTCAAAGACAAACACTTATCAAGTGGCTTTACAGAGACAACGTTACAAGAAAGTGCTCACCTCCTTGCGAAGAAGTCCAGGTACCAAGGCAAATATTTCAAAGGAATCCTTCTGTGAATACATTAAAAAAGAAAACAGATTTGGTAAGAATTCCATACTGGAAACAAACATCCAGTTTGCAAATTTTTGGCGTTTCCTTAGTTAGCTGGCAGAAGTTACTCACAGTTTCTTTGACATTTATCTTCACCCAGTCTGCAAGGGGTCCAACATCAACAACCTCAGCAGCCGACCTATTACGACAAAATAGAAACCTTAACGTCAATTTACAGTAATATGTTCAGGTTAAAAACATGCTCTGTTTTCATCCCATTACTGTTAAGAGGAGTTAAACGCAGAAACAAAAAAAATATATATAACTCTCTAAGACTTGCAAACAAGCAGGAGAGAATTGGCTTTCCGTAACTGTTTGTCAGCTTCATTTGAAACAACAAGGTCCATGCTAGTTTGTAATTTGTGTTTCTCCAGCCCTGAAAAATTCGTTTAACACAAAATGTTAACCTACCCCGATATACAAAAATACCAAATGCCTTGAGAATTTCTTTTACCAATGCTTTTGAGTTTCTTATGCTTTGGGGTTGAGTTTAATCCCTTATCCTGAAACAATAGGAGAACAGCATCCTGGTTCAGGACAAAACTCTACATAATGGAATCACAATGTGCAGTTAGATTTGAAGGGAAACCTTAACAGCAGGCGCAGTAAACTCTCCAGATCCAACAAGACGCTGTGCATGCCAACCTTGCATAGCACGAGCTGCAGAATCTCTTCTTGCCCTGCCTGACCCTGAACCTTGATGGCTACTTGCCTACATCAAAGTCCTTATATCAGAGAAGAAAAAATACACGGAGAAGGGGAAGTAAGGAAGGTGCATAAAGAATCTACGATTCATGGAATTTACGGTAATTTACAGGCCTATGCACATGGATTTCATATGGAATTTCGTATAAGACACAAAAAAGGTAACAGCTTTTTGTCAGTCGGATTACAGATAGTATAGTTTAACAGGTTTAGCTGCTATTGAACATTCCAGAAGTCCTTTCTACATTTTTGGGGGTAATTTACCTCTTTTTCGCTGTTGGAAGACGTAAGGAATGTTGAACCAGGGAGGTTAAGCTCACCATTTTTCCTTAAATGCTTTTCATACTCCAAAAGTGCCTGCAATTGAAGCAAAAAATACAAATCAAATGAACCTCTATATGAAAAGATAGAAAAGAACCAGTGCATTCAAAGTGCCAAAATAAACTGCCATACCTAGGCAAGACAAAAAAAATCAAACTAACTATTATAACACACCATACCAAAAAGAAGCACAAGGTGAATTTTCTGAAGTTGATAAGTAAAAATAAAGACAGGATATATTAATGATACTTATGCACCAAAATAAACTCACCTTCTCATAGAAATTGCGGAATGTGTAGGAGACTGTTGTGCATGTCCTGAATAAAGATAGTTTAACCAAACGTGGAAAAGATAAGCATAATGAAAAATCGGCAAAGACTAATGGAGAGTCTAAGGGAAACATCAGCCGTACTTGGGAGGATGGAAGGATTCTCCAACTTGTCGCCATAGCTTAGATGTGGTGACCTACATTACCATGGACAAAGGAATCTTGAATACCATAGACATTTAATTTCATCAAGATTAAGAAAACATTGAATTTATACTCCCAAATATAGCTAACAACAGTAACATAAATCAGTTTCTCAACAAGATATCAAACATTCTTTAATATACCTGCATAATTAATTCATTGATGTTAAATAATCTCCTCTCTGAAAGTCACATGGTTATAGATACTCTGATCATCAATTCACATACCGATTTAAATTTAATACCTTATTCAGTTCATATGTTATTCACAACCCCCAAAATTAGAATGTGATCATACAGGTCAACTTAAATGACGCATAAAGTTTAAACTGCCGAACTAAAAATGATATGGTCTGGGATTATTACCACGTCATAGCCACCTAATTTGATGACTGCTCGCCATAGCCTACATTGCATAGTAAAACATGCAAATTTCAGGCACTGATGAACAACCTATATGTGTTCACTTATGATCAAAAGCAATACTTTCAACTCACTTGAGAGTGTTTAGAGGCTGTCCATAAAACTTAGGAGCTTTAAAATCCAGGTAATTCTCTTTGTGAAAGGTCTCCAATTCTCTTAGAAACATCATTTGTTCTTCTGGTGTCCCTGCTTCATCAATTCCCAGTGCCTGTAGAGAGAGAAGAACTAGTAAGAGAATAATCAAAACAACAATGTTTCACCGTAAAGCTCCTCTCTTTCTATAACAAAACCATGCTGAGAATACAGAAACATACCTCAGAATCAGTCAGCAGCCAAGACTTCCGCTTTTTGGCACTCACATCTTCAGGCTTAGGAGTCAATATTTGCACCTTACGAGTCTTCCTTCCAGAGTGGTCACCATTCATCCCATGACCATTAGCCTGAGCACCTCCATTAGTTAAATGAACATCACTCTCTAGAGTAAGAGTCTTATCCTCGAGAAGAAGGGGCTGGGGGTTTTCACTAGGGTTTTGATAGTTTTCTGTCTGCAGAGGTTCTTCCTCTAAATATTTGGTGTCAACAAGGACAGCTTCATCACCAAAAAACGCATCTTGCTCATGCATTTCGGAATCCGCCATCTAAAAGCTTCGATTTATGTTCTGGAGTAGTCAGTCACAGCAAGACAAAGTCATAAAAATGAAGACAAAATCGTGAAAAAGAGGATAAAACACAGTAAATGACTATTGGCGATTCAGGAATAAACAAAAAAGAAATGTATTTTCGCCGCCTGGAAACCATAGTCTATCTCTCTATCACTCCTTGGGAGAATTGGAGCAAACTCACTCCTTTGTCTATATGCTTCACAGCCTCAGGAGTAATCAAAACAAGCTGATAAAGAACCCCGACAACCTTCCAGAAAATAAGGAGAGCAGCATAAGAAAAAAAAAACAAGTACTTGCCTGTTCCGCAGCGACGGCGACGGCGAGAAAAGCAAGGAGTGAGAACGCAGGACCTCCGGCGGCGGCGCTAGGGTTTGGAGGCGGAGGAATTGAAAGCAACTGTGGAAGAGAAGAAGGAAGATACAGAGAGAAGAAGCAGCAGCGAGAGAGAGAGAGAGAATTTGAAAGAGGAGAGAAACAAAAAAATCTTTTGTCAATTTTGGTTTAAGATGAGATGAGATGGATGTGGTCTTTTCAAAACTGCTGAGCGACTCAGAGACTTCGCCAACTTTGTTCCCTTTTTTGTTTTTCACACTGAAAAGTAAAACACTAATTTTGGTTCTTCTTTTTATTTTTTGTGTATTTAGTTATTTACAGAGTTTTTTAATATTTTTTGGAAAATTTTCATAATTGTAGGTTTTGTTCCTTTTTATTGTTGTTGGGACAGCTATAAGCAAATAACGACGATAGAGTTATGTTAATAGATTCTGCAATGATTGACACACGTACAGTATACAGATTTATGTTTGATACTTTTTTTATTATTAATCTTTAGCTAATAAAATTTTGTAAGTCTTGGTCAGAAAATTTGTGACTACCTAAATATATAATTCATATTTGCATATATTACCAAGTATAGTTCATATATACTTATTTTTCTAAATTTTTTCTTCTAGATATAAGAGATTTTCAAACAAATAGTATATAAGAAAATATCTTACTTCAAAAAAATTGGAAACTATTTTTAGAAAAAGTATATATTAAAGAAATAAAAAGCTGATATCTCTTATTGGGCTTTAGGCCTAAAGAGATAACTAAACTTGTTATGTGAGAAAGTTGGGCTTAATATGGATCCAAATCAGGTCGGCTACACGGAGATGCTAATTCAGTTTTTTAAGAAAATTGTCATATGTGAGAAAGTTGGGCTTAATATGAGATGTTATTTAAGAAAAACCGCCATCTCAGTTTTTTTTTTTCCTCACAATTACCATACGTTTAGGGTTCCGACGTTCCTGTTCACTCTCGAATCTTCTATTAGCTTCTTCGTCTTCTTCATTGAAGATTTATCTGTGTAAGCTTTTCAACCTTGTTTGTGTCTATTTACTGTTCGATTAATCTGATATTCATTCCTCCTCACACATTGATTCTGATTCAGGTTGCTCAGGCGTAATTTTGCGGTGGATCATCGGGGCGGTCGAATTTCATTGATTTTCCATTGAATCTGCGTCGTTTTCTATCCAGATTTCTGTTGTTGGAGCTGAATTTAAGGAATGGAGGAAGATAAGTCTAAGTACAGGGGAGATGATATGGAGGTAGAGGAGGAGGATGATGATTTGAAGAAGAGTCGGCGAGATCGTGATCGCAGTAAGGAGCGGAAGAAGGATAAGGGTTTGGAGAAGCGCCGGGAGAAGGATAGGCGGAAGAGACGGTCTGAGAGAGTTAAGAGTAGTGATTCAGAAGATGATTACGATAGAGATGATGATGAAGAGAGGGAGAAGCGTAAAGAGAAGGAAAGAGAGCGGAGACGGAGGGGTAAGGAGAGGGCTAAGCGACGGTCTGAGAGAAGGAAGAGTAGTGATTCTGATGTTGACGATGAAGAAGATAATGAGAGGGATAAACGCAGATCGAAGGAGAAGGAGAGAGGACACCGAGAACATGAAAGAGGCAAAGATCGGAAAAGGGATAGAGATAGAGAGAGGGAGGAGAGGAAGGAGAAAGAAAGAGAAAGGGAGAAGAATAGAGAGAGAAGAGAACGTGAAAGAGAAGAGCGGGAGAAGGAGAGGGTTAAGGAAAGGGAAAGGCGGGAGAGGGAAGATGGAGAGAGGGATAGGAGAGAACGTGAGAAAGAAAGGGGTAGTAGGAGGAACCGGGAAAGGGGGAGGTCACGGGAGGTTGGCAATGAAGAGAGTGATGATGATGTCAAGCCCGACTTGAAACGTAGGAGAAAAGAGAGCAGCGAACGGAAGGAGAAAGAGCGTGAAAAGAGTGTTGGTAGGTCTAGCAGGCATGCAGATGGCAATGGAGATAGTCCAAAGAGAAAGAGTGTCGAGGAGGATGGTGAAAAGAAAGAGAAGAAAACCCGAGAAGAAGAACTAGAGGATGAGCAGAAGAAGTTGGATGAGGAGGTGGAAAAACGGAGGAGAAGAGTCCAGGAGTGGCAAGAATTAAAGAGGAAGCAGGAGGAAGCTGAAAATGAAATTAAGGGTGATGGGGATGGTAAAGAGCCCAAGGCCGGTAAGGCTTGGACTCTTGATGGAGAATCTGATGATGAAGAAGGCCATCAGGAAGAAAAATCAGAAACAGAAATGGATGTTGATGGGGAGAGTAAACCTGAGAGTGGTGGAGATGCCAAAATAGTAGACTTGGAGAATGAGACAGCTACTACTGTCCCTGAGAGTGGAGGTGACGGAGCTGCAGATGAAGATGAGATTGATCCATTAGATGCTTTTATGAATACTATGGTATTACCTGAGGTTGAGAAGCTTAGCAATAGTGCTCCTTCTCCAGCAGTGAATGATGGTATTTTGGACTCTAAAATGAATGGGAAGGACAGTGGTGACCAGCCGAAGAAAGGTTTTAACAAGGCCCTTGGTAGGATAATTCAAGGTGAAGATTCTGATTCCGATTATTCAGAACCAAAAGATGATGATGATCCAAGTTTAGAGGAAGACGATGAGGAGTTCATGAAAAGAGTAAAAAAGACCAAAGCAGAAAAATTGTCCCTTGTTGACCACTCAAAGATAGAGTATGAACCTTTCCGGAAAAACTTCTATATCGAAGTGAAGGATATCTCTAGGATGACACAGGAAGAAGTTAACGCTTACAGAAAGGAATTGGAGCTGAAAGTTCATGGAAAAGATGTTCCAAGGCCCATAAAGTCTTGGCACCAGACTGGGCTAACCAGCAAAATTTTGGATACTATGAAGAAACTTAATTATGAAAAGCCAATGCCTATTCAAACACAAGCGCTACCTATCATCATGAGCGGTCGAGACTGCATTGGGGTTGCAAAAACCGGGTCTGGTAAAACTCTTGGGTTTGTTTTGCCAATGCTGAGGCATATCAAAGATCAGCCTCCCGTCGAGGCTGGTGATGGGCCAATTGGGCTTGTAATGGCACCTACTAGGGAGCTTGTTCAGCAGATTCACAGTGATATCAGAAAGTTTGCAAAGCCGTTGGGTATACGATGTGTCCCTGTGTACGGAGGATCAGGAGTTGCCCAGCAAATTAGTGAGCTTAAGCGAGGTACTGAGATTGTTGTGTGCACTCCTGGTAGAATGATTGATATCCTTTGCACAAGCAGTGGGAAAATCACTAACCTGCGAAGGGTCACATTTTTGGTAATGGATGAAGCTGATCGTATGTTTGACATGGGTTTTGAGCCTCAAATTACTCGTATTATTCAGAACATTCGACCTGAACGTCAAACTGTGCTCTTTTCTGCCACGTTTCCTCGCCAAGTTGAAACTTTGGCACGTAAAGTCTTGAACAAGCCTGTAGAAATTCAGGTTGGTGGAAGGAGTGTTGTGAATAAAGATATAACTCAGTTAGTTGAAGTCAGACCGGAGAGTGATAGGTTCTTTAGACTTCTGGAACTTCTTGGGGAATGGTATGAGAAAGGAAAAATTCTGATCTTCGTTCAATCGCAGGAAAAATGTGATGCCTTGTTTAGGGATATGATTAAACATGGTTACCCTTGTCTATCTCTTCACGGGGGTAAGGATCAGACTGATCGTGAATCAACTATATCTGATTTTAAGACCAATGTCTGTAATCTGTTGATTGCCACAAGTGTTGCGGCTAGGGGTCTAGATGTGAAAGAGCTTGAGTTAGTTGTAAACTTCGATGCACCGAACCACTATGAAGACTATGTACATCGCGTTGGCAGGACAGGCAGGGCAGGGCGGAAAGGCTGTGCTGTGACATTTATTTCTGAGGATGATGCTAAATATGCACCAGATTTGGTCAAGGCCCTGGAACTTTCTGAGCAGCCAGTGCCTGATGATCTCAAAGCAGTTGCTGATGGTTTCATGGCAAAAGTGAAACAGGGTATTGAGCAAGCTCATGGAACTGGTTATGGTGGTAGTGGCTTTAAATTCAACGAAGAGGAGGAAGAGGTTAGGAAAGCAGCAAAGAAAGCACAAGCGAAGGAGTATGGCTTTGAGGAAGATAAGTCTGACTCAGAAGATGAGAATGATGTTGTAAGAAAGGCAGGTGGTGGTGAGATCTCACAGCAGCAGGCTACTTTTGCTCAGATAGCCGCCATTGCTGCTGCTGCCAAAGCTGCTATTCCCGTGAGTGCTCCTGTGACTGCTAACCAGTTGCTGCCAAATGGTAGCGGGATTCACGCCGTGCCAGGTGTCCTTCCAGTTACTGTTCCTGGCAATCCTAGTGAAGGGGCAGGCCGTGCTGCAGCCATGGTTGCTGCCATGAATTTGCAACATAACCTGGCAAAGATTCAAGCTGACGCTATGCCTGAACACTATGAAGCAGAACTTGAAATCAATGATTTCCCACAAAATGCTCGCTGGAAGGTCACCCACAAAGAAACTTTGGGTCCAATATCAGAGTGGACTGGAGCCGCCATTACCACTAGGGGTCAGTTTTATCCTACAGGACGAATCCCTGGACCTGGGGAACGCAAACTCTACTTGTTCATTGAAGGGCCTTCTGAGAAATCAGTTAAGACAGCAAAAGTTGAACTCAAGCGTGTTCTTGAAGACATTACAAATCAGGCCATGTCACTTCCTGGAGGAGCAACAGCTGGCAGATACTCGGTGATATAATGTAAGTCGAGATTTCTAATCTAATTTACAATCATATAGGTTAAATGCTATGCTTAAGCCTTGCTTGCTGACTTTTTTAATTTCTTACATATTTCTTATTAATCTCGAGTTCAGACTTATGGATCTTAGTTTCTCTCTTTTAACAGGAAAGCAACCATGAGGTGTGTGATTATAATGGATTCAAATCACTTGAGAGTTTTATTAAACCAAGTATTATTGGTTGATGTTTCAATCTCTGCACGTTTGCTAAATTTTTTCTTACAGACTTGAACTTGGTGTGACATTCCTTACTTCTTTATGGTGGTCAAGTATTAGTAGAATGATGGGTGTCGAATAATGAGTGCTTATTGTTTCTCATCCTACAACTCTTTTCCTCTTTTAATTTTATTCTCTTTTTCTTTGTCATGTTTATACAATGTCCCGATGGGTTTGCTAATGCGCATTACCGCGTGGTGGCTGTAAAAGGATCGGTAAAATCTAGTATGATGCAGTTATTGTGTTTGGATTTAATCATGAATCGAACAGCACTAGACTTGTTTCTTGCATCAATCTCCCCTTTTACAGCGTTTGGCATCTTTTCTGCAGGGGAAATCTGTCAAACATGAAGCTCATAGGAGAGATGATATTGAAATTTTCTGATAGACAAGGTGACAGCGATTTTACCTCCCCAATGGGTAAGACTTGAAGCTTATTCAGTTTTGGTGTCTGGATGCTTTCTCTGTGAAAATCCGTCTATATCTGCTTTAACCACTAGTCTTAGAGAGAAACTTTCATCTGCTGGGATTGTCTCAATCGAGATCATGGACTTGCAACTGAGATAAACGCTAAAGGAAGCTTTCTGAGTAACGGTCAAAGGTGATGTTGCATCCAGTATGTAGTAAACATCGGATTTTATGATCAAAATAGTACTCCTGGATGCGTTTGTTTTGTTTTGTGGATCAAAATTATAAAACTAATGGGTTTGAAACAGTGACATAGGTGACACAGATTGTATATTATAAACGGCAATTTGCGTGATGATCTACACAGGAAAGGTTGTGGGAGACCAAACTTATTTTGTGACCGCACCTTTATCAAACAATGGAAATATAGAAGGGGTGAAACTATTGTACTTTTCATGGCATCATGCCATCATCAACTCCTATTGGTGGGAAATAGAGAAATAAAGCGTAGGTGTAATAAGCACTGCGTAACTCTAGCAGATTTTTTTGTAACAATCACCAAAACTGGATTTCACAAATTATATAATAAGAGACCATTTTATAACACCGTCGAAGGTTGCAAAATGAAACAAAAAGACACTTGTGTATTTCGATTTTTCTTTTTGCTTATAAGGAAAAAAATGATATCATCAGAAAGGGGTCGTCAGATAATATATTACAAACCAATTGCTAAGTCATCATTTTAACTGTATGTCTTCTTCAACATACTCCAAAAGTGTATACTATATCATAAAATAACATGGTGTAATTAAACGGTCCAAAGTGAATAATACATAAATTTTTTCGGTAATTAACTAACTAGTACTAAAACTAACCAGAGAGGCCATGCAGAGCCACTAGCACTCCCAAGTTTCTCATCTTCTTTGAAATCTTTTGGCTGTTACGTTTGATACTCTGTTTCTTAAGAAGAACACAGATCGATCTCTTCTATTCCTCTCGATCCTCCCTTGGTTTCAATTCCGTAAGTCATCATCACGATTCACGACACGATCTCTCTCTCTCTAATTGAAAACACGATTCGTAATTTGCTTTTTCTTTAGTTTGCTCGATTTAAGTGCAGAAATGGTGATTCTGTAGAAGCATTTTTGGTTTTGGTATTTGGTATCAGATCACAAGCGACGATGACGATGAGGCTTTTGGATTTGTTCATAACCTCGTCGATACCAGTTGCCAAGATTCTGATGATTACAGGAATTGGATTTTACTTGGCTATGGATCGTGTTAACATTCTCAATCAAGATGCTAGAAAGCAACTCAACAACGTGCGTCAGTTTTTTTTTTTAAAACGAATTTGATATATTTAATTTCTCTGAGTTGTTCTGAGTTTCTTGTTTTGGTTTTCACGTTTCTTGCAGATAGTTTTCTATGTGTTTAGTCCTTCACTTGTTGCAAGCAGTTTAGCTGCGACTATTACATACGAAAGCATGGTGAAAATGTATGTCTTCTTGATTCAGAGAACTGATTCTGCTCACGTACAATGAAAATTTATTTTGATGGAGCATGCAATGCACTTTAATTCAGGTGGTTCATGCCAATCAATGTGTTGTTAACATTCATCATTGGTTCGTTTCTTGGTTGGGTTGTTATCAAAATCACTAAACCTCCTCCGCATCTCCGTGGCATCATTGTTGGTTGCTGTGCTGCTGGTAACTTTAACATCATCCTACAAATCTTGTTTGTTGTTTCATTCATGAAGTTTTATTAGGAATCCTAATCAGTGATGCATGAAATTGTATAATCCTACAGGGAATTTGGGAAACATGCCACTCATCATCATCCCAGCTATATGTAATGAAAAGGGAAGTCCTTTTGGAGATTCTGAGAGTTGTCAGAAATTTGGACTTGGTTATGTTGCACTCTCAATGGCGGTATGTCTCCATTTCTTTAACTACTTCTTTTGCTTCTCTGCTGTACTGGATGCTCTAAATGAATATACAAGTCAAAACGTTTTGTGATGTATATCAGATTGGAGCCATTTACATATGGACTTATGTATACAACCTTATGCGGATGCTAGCACATCCTGCTGGAGAAATCGCAGTAAACAGTACCTCTTCTACAATGCCACTGATTGCTCCCAAAGTTGAAGTTGGGGAACAGGTCTTTTTCCTTTTATAAATCTTGTGAGCATTATTTGCTTCAGCTTACTGATTTTGGAGAGCATGCATATGTGGCAAGGTTGGGACATGGAGCAAGGTCAAGCAAAGAGTGTGTTCTGCAGCAGAGAAAATCAATCTACGAACAATATTTGCTCCTTCAACTATTGCAGCGGTTTGTTTCAGTTGTCCATTCAACCAAAAGAGTGCTATCTTCTGTATGTATGTACTAATTAAGTAACTAATCCACCTTCTCTTCAGCTTATCGCACTTGCGGTTGGGTTAAATCCTATACTAAGGAAGCTACTAGTGGGCAACACAGCTCCACTCCGCGTGATTGAGGACTCAGTATCTTTATTGGGGTATTCAACAACATATTAAAATCTCGTTCGTCTGTGATAATCAATGCTTACTTACTTGAGTAGCTTAATTTCTTGAAGGGATGGGACAATTCCTGTTCTGACTCTGGTTGTAGGAGGAAACCTTCTCAAAGGTAAATAAACAAGAAAACTTTTTGAATTCAAAAGACAAAACCTTAAATAATTGCTCTCTTTCAATAATCACAGGTCTGAGAGGTTCAGGAATGCACAAGTCAGTCATAGTAGGTGTGGTGGTTGTGCGTTACGTTTTACTGCCAATATCAGGTGTTTTAATAGTACAAGGAGCCCATCACTTTGGTTTGGTTACATCTGAACCGCTCTACAAGTTTATTCTTCTGCTTCAGTATGTCGTTCCACCGGCAATGAATCTTGGTTTGTTCTTCAGGCTGAAAAGTTACTTCCGAAGACGCATACTGTCTTTCTCATAGTCTCACTCTTGACCTTTTGGCAGGTACAATCACTCAACTATTTGGGTCAGGAGAAAGCGAATGCTCTGTGATTCTATTCTGGTCTTATGCTTTGGCTTCGGTTTCTCTCACTGTCTGGCCAACATTCTTTATGTGGCTTGTAGCCTGAACCACACACACACATACACACTACAGACACACTAGGGCAACATTTGCAAAACTCGCTAATTCGAAACATTAGAGAAATTGATATATTCTTTCATTGTTAAAGAGGTTGGAGGGTTATACAATTGGGAATAGAGACCCAATCAAAATGGAATATTAAAACTTCAATCATCCTAAGATAGCAGAAAAATGCTTGAGACAAGCAAAGACCAAGATGGAACAAAATATCCTACTGAGAGAGTTCATAAAGAGAGCCTCAAAGAGAGGATTTGTCAGGTAGATCGTCAAAGTAAGGATGCTCCATAGCCTTCTTCGCTGAGATTCGTTTCGCTGGCTCATACTCCAACATTTTCTGTGCCCAAAGAAAAACGCATATTACTATTAGCTATGGGCCTGGGTAATTAGGCAAGGTCTGAGTGGTGTGTTAGACATTGGGGACTTACAGATAAGAGATCAAGTCCGGCCTCATCGAGGTTTGGGACAGCTGTGGAGAGACTCAACGGTTTCCATTGTGGGTATTCATGCCAATCCTTGAGTGTGCTCACTCCAGGCCACACTTCTTCGTTTGGTGTTCCCAGCAACCTGAATTTCCACAGAAAAAGCAAGTGAGTATGCGAATGTCATGTATGTGTGCTATAGAAAGGTAAAGAGGAGCACAAAGACTTGCCTGAAAATACGGAGGAGCTGTTGGAGCTCAGAGTCTCCAGCAAAGATTGCTTGCTTGGTCACTAGTTCAGCTACAAATAACAAAGAAACAGAACTCTTAGTTATCGCAGTATTGACATTGAAGAGAAACCAATGAAACTAAAAGAGAAGAATTTGTACCAAAGATGCAGCCAACAGACCACATATCTACTGCAGTTGAGTAATGGGTTGCTCCAAGAAGGACTTCTGGAGCTCTGTACCAAAGAGTTAGAATCTGTTGCAATGGAAATCAAGGGAAAACGACATCATTAGTTAAAACTCCAGAGTTCAGAAAAACAAAGATCAGATCTTAAAACACTAACATGAAGTAAGACTAATGATTTATAGACATAGATTTTCATACCTCATGTGTATACTTTTTCATTGGGAGAGTGAAGGCTCTGGCTAATCCAAGATCTGCTATTTTGAGGGTCATTGTCTTCCGGTCCATCAAGAGATTGTGAGGCTTAAGATCCCTATAATGAAACAAAGAGAAGTAGGATCAGTAATCAGTCTCAAAATAAGTTTCGCTCAAAGGCATTGTTCTCTCAAAACAAAGACGATATTTGACCTGTGCAACACTCCATGGCCATGACAAAAAGCCATGCCTTTGCATAACTGGTACATCAAGCACTGCAATTGAAGACCATGTTTCTTTTAGCTTATCGCGTGAGAGTGTTAAAAGAAAAAAAAACACAGAACAAAAAGCTAAAAAAAAAAATGAAAACCTTGACAGTATCCTGCGGAATGTTCTGTCCAGCTTGACGAAAGCTTCTGATAAATTTCTTGAGATCAGTGTCAACATACTCAAAAACCAAGTAGAGTACAGTTTTTCCTTCTTTGTTTATCCCTTGCTTAACATCCATCAACCTGGAGAAGAAGAATGATTAATTATCTCTGAGAAGAAAATGCAATCACCCAAAGCACACTAAGATCTAAACACAAAGGTTCCATTTTGAAATTTTATCGTATTTGGATAAGATAAGATTTCGTATACAGGAACAACACGATTAGTCTCAACCGAAGAACCCATTTGATCTAAATCGCAGCACACAATCAGATAGTGAAACCAATATCTACCACTACCACATCAGAGTGACATAAAAATCGAGAATCGTAGAGAGATAAATTGATGGGGGAATAAACCCTAGAAATCGAAATTTGAGTCCTAAAACCACAAGGCAGAGATTACGGACTAATCGATAGGAAGAGAAGCGAATCAGGAATCGAACCTAACGATGTGGGGATCACGAGCGAGCATACGCAAGATAGAGATCTCGCGAAGAGTAGTGGGAGGAACGCCTTCTTCATCCTCATGGAGACGGGTCTTCTTCAAAGCAACGATCATCCCAGTAGCTTTCTCTCTCGCTCTGTAAACTTTGCCGTAAGTACCTTCGCCTACTTTCTCAAGCTTCTCGAAAGCTTCCATGGCTGAAACAGAAGGTTTAACTCCATTGTTGTCCATCTCCTATTTCTCTCTAAATCAAATGAATATAAATCTCAGGTTTTTTGTTTTTTTATGTTTTGGGGGAAGGAAGAAGAAGAGAGAAGAAGATAGAAATGGACAAAGGTAGAAGAGAGAATGGTTTAAATAGGAAGCAGATATTTGTTTATTAGAAATATATTAATTATTATTATTCCCTCTTTGAGAATTCATTTCAAAATTCAAAACCGGAGCGTCAGGCACTATTTGCCTTCTTTTTTATTTATTTCTTTCTAATACTCTCTCCTCTTCCGCTAAAAGTGTTATTTTACTTTGTTATTTTATTGAAAGTGTCATTCTAAATTCTTAATGCAAATTTTACACTACATTTCCAAATTTTACTATTTAATTTATAAGTAACTAAACCATTACCAACAAGAAATGTATATGTATATTTGAATTTTTTCTTAATTTATGTGAAATATGTCAAAATGACATTTTTTATATAATAGAAAGAGTACTATTTTAAACCATATGACGTGGAAATACCGATACAGTCATGCTATTTATGTGTTTTTCTTAATTAAAATCATTTTTGTTGTTTTTAATTAATTATAAATTATGATTTTACATTCGTAATATAATAATTATGAAATTTTCATAACTCAAAATTATGTTTCTGCCATTTAATCCAAAACCTTTTCTAAAATATCAATTTATCTATTTGTGGCAGTGTCTATTAGAACTGCGTTGATAGACACTCTGTCTTTGAGCTTTTCCTTCATCATAACCGCGAAATTAGCTATTGTTATTGCTCCCTGTAAAATCAAAAATGTATGTTACGTTTTGACATGTATTTAAACAGTTATAGTTATATATAAGAGGTATGTGGTCAGATAAAATAAACTTCACAAAACGGATAACAGACGTTTTGACATGTATTTAAAGCTATAGTTATATATAAGAGGTATGTTTTCCAACTATCTTAGCTATAAGTTTTGATCCCGAGTGATTAAAGATTTAAAACCTTTTTGTTAAGGGATTTACGACGAAGAGGCATTAGATTAAATATTGGTATATATGTAGGTTTTCAATAATGCAAAATAATATAATATATTAGTTATCAATTTCGAAAAATGTTTAAAACTTTTAAATCTTTTGATGTCAAAACATTTCTTAATAATGTCTAAAATAGTTAACTAATATTATATATATATATATATATATTATTATATTTTTGTATATTGACACACAAATAAACAATATGTAGTTTTTAACTATTGTATAAAAATATATTTATATTTGTACATTAAACAAAATGTATGGTTCATATTATATAATATTGTTTTAGTGGCATGTTCATAAATAATATATTTTGATGAGGGTTTAAAAGTTGTTGAAATAGTATCAAATAGTGAAAATGAATATCAAGAAATTGTATATATGATGTGGTGTCAAAATTAAATTATAAGATCAAAAAATTGTATATATTAAGGTTGAAAATATGTTTAAATAATGTTTTCACTTTATATTTCCTTCTAGGTAGGTCTCAAATGGAAATATAATAAGAATATAAGAATAAATATTGTCATTTGTTTTTTCAGTTGTATAACTACTTTTACAGTTTTACTTAACAACTATATACTTTAACTTAACAACTAGGTGGAATAGTGGTTCTGTGACTGATCTGAAACCTAGGTGGAATAGTGCCTCTGTGACTAATCTGAAACCTTCTGTCTTTTATAAATCTCTTTCCAAACTCAACAACTTTTAAAAAAAAATAACAACAACAAAAGTTACATCTCAGACGAAAGAAAACAACAGATACGACGTGTGGAATGATTATAAAAGAGCTTATATGCAAAAGCTCATGAGAGAAATTATTACAAGAGTTTTCTTGACTCTTACGTTTGAGTTAAACTATTGACCACCAGTGGAAGAAATAGTAGTAAGAACATCAGTCACCGAAGCCATCACACTCAGAGCTGCCTTCAATACGTCTTGAGAACATCCTGGTTTCACTATCTTTCTCACCTGACCGACCCCCAAAAATATGTTAGGATTATGACTATATATATACAATTCTATTACTTTTCAAAGATGACACACAGAGAAATAAGTCTTTATTTTTTACCTGGTCTAGATATTCCTGCAGCTTCTTTATACGGCCCATGTAATCTTGATCTTCAACACAGAGGCTCACTGCTTTAGCATCCGCACCCGGACCATCGTACTGAAGCGGTCCCGGGTTTCTGTACAGATCCTCCATCAAGAACTTTTGTGCATTCTGTCTCAAGAGGCTGCAAAAGAATCATTCACATTAAAAACTATTGAGAAACTTAAAGGCAACTTTGTGAATTAGTGTGTTCATGTTCTTTGCTATAGCTAGCTTACTCGTATGCTTTGCCTTTCAAATCCACCATAGCTGGATGAATTGCAGGTCTACCAATTGAAGTTAAAGTAGAACTAGCATTTTGGGACCAATGCTTCACCGTCATCATCGCCTAAAGGTTGTACCGGAGATGAGGGAATTAGTATAGAAAGAAACTGTAGTAACTGCCATCTTTTAAATAGAAAAGAACACAAAACTCAACTGTAATAGGTGCAGCACCACATTTCCACTTGTTTACTGGACTTTTCAGATTGGTTACAGTTGCCATGTAACCATTCAGACCAGCTGCAAGGATGTGGTAACATATATGTCCAAGAACCTGCATGATTTTCCCATTCAATAGTGTGAATGAATATTCATCCTAATTATTAAGCAGCATTGATATTGTGTTGCAGAGTGTTAGTGACTTACATAGGCATAATCACAATCAAATTTCGATGGAAGAGATCCACGAGCTTGGTAACCAAAAAAGTGACATATGGCATTGAATTTCTTCCCCTTGTATG